CGACTCTCTGCATGTGCCACGCCCCTTCACCCTTGCTCCGCCCTGGCCGGCTTTTAGGTCACGCCCCTTCCTCCTCGCTCCGCCCCCTCATCTGTGCTCCGCCCTCCGCGGCAGACATTTCTCCTGGCAGTTGCTGAAATGACCGAGAATAAGGATCTCAACCTGTTCCCGGCTTATTCGCCCGCTCGGCGCGTCCTGCTCTGACGCGGGAGTTAGAGCCATTGGGGCGTGGAAGGATGCTTCATCCACAGTTCCGGCAATGCAAGCCAGCCATCCGCACTCCGTGCTCGCCCCCACCTCCATGGACCGCGAAAGGCCCCTGCGGCCGTCAGGGGCAGTTTGCAACCCGCCGGGACATGTCCAGTTCTTGCGTGGGTGTCGCTTTGAAAGTTACCCTCAACTAAAAGAGCGAGGACAGGTGGCAGAGAACTCGAAGAAGTTATCTGGATTTCAATGGAGTTCATCTTTCTGCAGCCCTGGAGACCATCTCTAACCCCCGCTTCAGAAGAAGTTGTGAAACGTTTGAATCTCACCATGTGCAGAAGGGCGGAAGAGTCCAACACGCTTAATGCACAAACTGCTGGCTGCCAAACATACCAAAGACACGTGCTCCGAGCACAGACGTTCCCAGTCACCCAGAAGATAAACTTTTAATTCCCTTTGCCTTTTTGGAACAGGCTTTTTCCTTCCTCAACAAGTCTGTGAGACTCAAAACCCTCCTTTAAAAGCCTCATTTAATTTCTGCTTCCTCAGTCCATCTTCCCTCCCTGACCTGAATGGCTTTGTTTAAATATTTGGTTAGGGTGATCTGCTTCTACTTGCTACCGCACCCAAAATATTAAGACAAAAAGAAAAGTCATTGAGGGTTTCCTTGAGTAATCAACTCAACGAAATTACAGCTTAAACTAAAAAGGAATGTTTTGCCAGAGTGTGGAATAGAAAATACAATTGAAAAGAAACTCCTAGAACTGTGTTACTATATTTGGACCACCCAACGCTTTGGCACAGAAGGCACCTGACAAAGCAAGAGAGTCGTTAGTTTCCCCGAGCCAAATTCATCAGTACATGGGAGCACTGTCAATACCAAGGATTCTGACTTCACCCACCAAGGCACAATCCAGTCTTTAAGGAGAGGACAATTACTACAGCCCATGCATGACATCGTAATTCTTAAAAGTATGAGGTCATCATCAACTGGTGAAAATGAATAAGCAAATATGGGCTATCCAGACAATGGAATCTTTTTTTTAACATGGTAAAGTTTCAATCTTCAATTGCATTTTAAATGACAAAATTAAGGCTACAATGGGATCTTACCAAGAAACAAAATATTGAATATTGAATGAATGAAGCACAAAAGTATATTATAAATGGAGCAGATAGTGTTTGATCTGAATGCAATGCCACGTATCTAGAGCGATGGAAAGGTTAGTGGTTGCCAGACGCTGAGCTGGAAGTAGGATTGGATAGTATGACTGCTAATGAATTTCTCTTAAGGGTAATGAAAATATTCTGGAATTAGAAAATGATTATATGCTTTGTAAATATCTGAAACCCATCAAATTGTACCTTTTCACGGGGTGAATTTTATAGTGTATAAATTACATCTCAATACAGCTGTTAAAATTTAATTAAGTCTTTGCGTGCTTGATGTGGTAGTGCCCTCCTTTAATCCCAGCACTGTGGAACAGAGTCAGGTAGAGCTATGAGTTCAAAGTCAGCCTGGTCCGGAGTGTGTTTCAGGCCAACCAAGCTACATAGTGAGACCCTTTCTCAAACAAACAAAATGGAGTCGTGAGGCAGGAAAGATGGTTAAGAGAGGAGCCAGGTTCAGTTCCCAGCACCCATGTTAGGCAGCTCACAATCGCCTGTAACTCCAGCTTCTGGGGATCTGGCCCTCTCTTCTGTTCATATGGGGCATACATTTTTTACACACACACACACACACAGAGAGAGAGAGAGAGACAGAGAGAGAGAGAGAGAGAGAGAGAGAGAGAAATGATTTTCAAAATCTTTTAATTCAGTCGATAGTGGCTGGAGATGGCTCAGTGGTTAAAAGCACTTGTTTTCTTGCAGAAGACCCAAGTTTGGTTCCTTCCCAGCACCCACATGGTGGCTCACCACACTCTGTAGGGAAATCCAACACCCTCTTCTGGTTCTAAGGACACTACATGCATGTGTTGTACGCACAGGTATACATGCAGGCTAAACACCCATACACATTAAAATAAATCTCTTCTAAAAAATCAGCTCTTGCCTTTTGGCTCATCGGCCGTCATTGAGGCAACACGGGTCACCAGCAGCTCTACTAGAGTCACCCGCAGAAGTTCGACCAGGGATCCCGCTCCTGCCACCTCTGCTCAAACAGCCACGGTCTGATCCAGTAATACAGGCTGGACACGTGCCACCAGTGTTTCCGGCAGTACGTGAAGGACATCGGCTTCATCAAGTTGGACTAAGCGACCTTGAATGGATTCTTCAAGACTCTACCGGGCTGGAGAGATGAAGGCTCAGTGGTAAGAGCACTTCCTGCTCTTCCAAAGGTCCTGAATTCAATTCCCAGCAACCACATGGTGGCTCACAACCATCTGTAATGAGAGCTGGTGCCCTCTTCTGGCCTACAGGAATACATGAAGGCTGAACATAAGAATTAAAAAAAGTGAAGACCTTCAAAAAATTAGCTCTTGGTGATTTTCCACAGATAAAATACTATGTTGAGTATCTTGTGTTCTTTGAAGTCTCGGTTCGAATCCCATACTCTCACTAAAGGCCTTCTCTGACTATTCTACTTAAACTGCAGCGTTTTCCCTACTCCCAATCTTCTTGATCTGCTTCTTCTGACCCCATGGCATTTATCACCCAACATACTAAATAATACGGTCATTTAGTCTGTCCTCTGTGTCTCCAGGCACACATGCCACAGAGAGGAAAGCTATAATGGCAAGGACCATTGTCTTATCTAGGCTAGAGCTGTCTGGCCCAGAGTAGGCACTCAGTAAATATTTGTTGCATGAACTAATGAGAAAGCAGTTGAGGGATGAGCTCATCAACACATATTCCTCCCATTCTTCAGACACTGAAGGCAGCTTGACAACAGCTGCTAGGAGCACTGGGCTTCATGAATCCAAAATAAATTCTGAATATGGAGAAGAACAACCATGCTTCTCTCAAAAACTTCAGTGACAGCCAGGCTGGTGGAGCACACCTTTAATCCCAGCTCTCGGGAGGCAGAAGCAGGTGGATCTCTGAGTTCAAGGCCAGCCTGGTCTACCGAGCGAGTTCCAGGACAGCTAGTGCTACACAGAGAAACGGTGTCTCGAAAAACCAAACAACAAAACAAAATAAAAACTTCAGTGACAATGACAGCACACACAGAGGTCAGAAAAGAAACTCATTGAGGACCAGTGGGTGGCTCTGGGGGTAGAGGCACTTGCTGCCAAGTCTGGTGACCTGAGTTCATTCCCCAAGACCCATGTGGTGGAGAGAGAGCACCAACTCGCACAGGTTGTTCTGTGAGCACCTGGTCTTAGACGGGCAGTGGTGGCACATACTTTAAGTCCAGCATCCAGGAGACAGAAGCAGGAGTGAATTTGAGGCCAGCCTTGTCTACATAGAGAAACCCTGTTTCAAAAACGAAAATGAACAAACAAAAGCAACTGGCTTTTATTTCATATTTGGTTTTCTCAAACAGGGGCTCTCTGTGTAGCCCAAGCTGACCTCAGAGCAGGCTTCCTGCCCCGGCACTGGGATTGCAGGTGTGTGCTACCTACCATACCTGCAGACTTTGATTGTTTAAGTTCTTCTTTAAGAGATGATCAATAAGACACATCCTAGCAAAACAGAAATAACGTGATCCACCTCTCCAAAAGCTGATGTTACTTAGAAACTGAGGTATTTGCCAAGTAATGGAGTTTCCCCAAAATCTGGCAAGCAGAAAAGGGATAGAGAAACTTCCAGCCTTCCTTCTCAGGCAGAGGCCATGGCAGGACTAGAGGCCCCCGTTCTGCCAGAGGTTCACCAGGACTGACTGAACCCTGAGTGTGTTGAGATCATCACCAGCAGCACAGCAGCATCTAGAATTTTCTCAACTCTTTCGGTATACTTCCAATGTCTACTCATTCAAGACTCACAGCCCTCACTAAATGAGAAATTGACAGCCCTTGAACGAGAGGACAGCGCACCGATGCAAGGGTGCAAAGGGTGAGGCTCTCATCAAGAGCTGTGCCACACACGCTACTGCTGGGGAGTCGCTGTACAGAACACTGGAACACAGGCAATGTGGGAAAGGCCCCGCAGCCTTCTGCACCCCTTCCCTTAGGGAGAAACAGGGCTTTGTTTGTTTGTTTGTTGTTTTTGAAGACAGGATTTCTCTGTAGTTTTGGAGCCTGTCCCAGAACTAGCTCTTGTAGACCAGGCTGGCCTTGAACTCACAGAGATCCACCTGCCTCTGCCTCCTGAGTGCTGGGATTAAAGGTGTGCGCCACCATCGCCCAGCTCTTGTTTTTCTTTTTCAAAAGTGGCCTTTGGGGTCTTCCATGTGCACCTGGGATGTGATGGGGCATGGGGAAGAAGTCCAGGGCACCTTTTGGAAACAGCTTTAGGCATCGCCACTTCTCAGAAATATTGTTTGGAACTACTTGTCAATGTGACCCGTGGCCATCATACATGGTACACCCGGTAAACTATCCTAGGTGTGAGCTGTAATCGAGCTGTTGAAAACATTTTCAGTGTCCATCCATCACAGACAGTGTGCATCTACTTACTCCATAAGGGGACACACATTAGACAACTATTTAAAAAAGGAAATTTGGGGACAAGGCAGCAGAGGATGAGAATGAAAATTAAAGTACATGACACACAAGTATGAAAATTACATAAACTCATCACTTTGTATGCTAACTCAAAATTTTAAAGAAAGTCTATGAACTTGTATGGAATGATTTAAATATACTCATAAGTCAGAAAAAGTATGTATATGTACATATCCTTGTATTACAATATATATGTATAGAATATGTTTTTATTGCAAAATATACTTCTAAGTGAAAAGATGCTATAACAGAAAAGGCCATGGATGAGGAAAATAGATGCATGGATGTTTGTATGGAAGGAGGTATAAGAAATAAATGGGGGTTCCAGGTTTGGCTCAGCAGTTAGGAGCACTTGTTCATCTCAAAGAGGATCCAGGTTCAGTTCCCAGTGCCCATATGGTGGCTCGTAACCATTCCTAACTCCAGTTCCCAGGGATCCAACACCTTCTTTTTTCCTTGGGCATCAGATGTACACTTGGTGAACAGAAGTACATGTAGCCGAAACACATACACCTAAAAAATAAGCAAATATTTTTAAAGACATATTATTTTTAATTAAGTAAACATCTTTCTCTCTGTGTATGTGTGTGTGTCACATGCCCTTGGAGGGATGTGAGGTGTGTGTGTGTATCTGTGTGTGTATCTGTGTGTGTGTGTATCTGTGTGTGTGTATCTGTGTGTGTATCTGTGTGTGTGTATCTGTGTGTCTGTGTGTGTATCTCTCTGTGTGTGTGTGTGTCACATGCCCTTGGAGGATGCCCTTGGAGAGTCCCTGGAGCTGAACATACAGGCAGTTGTGGTCCACACAACATGGAAAGAGAACTTGGGTCCTCTGCAGGCAGTGTAGTATACTCTTTTAGCCACTAAGCCATTTTTCCAGACCCAATAAATCTTTAAGAATAAATAAGTAGCCAGGTGTGGTGGCATAGGCTTTTAATCCCAGCACTCAGAAGGCAGAGGCAGGCAGAGTGAGTCCAAGGCCAACATGGTCCACAAAGTGAGTTCAAGGACAGTCAGGGCTACACAGAGAAATCCTGTCTCAACCAAACCAAAAAGAAAAAAGAAAAAGAAAGAAAGAAAGAAAGAAAGAAAGAAAGAAAGAAAGAAAGAATAACTAAAGAAATGGATTTCCCTGGATGACTAAGACTAAGTTTGTTCCCTGTGCATATATTTATTATCTTCTCAAAATAATAAAAATAAATGAAGAGAGTAATCCACTAAATCAACAAATGATAACATTCCTTTTCTATATGCAAACACATTCATTCAATAAACTTTATTGAATAGCAATAAGGTTTTCCACATGAAGCCATGACACCAGAAGACAAATGGGATTGGCCTATAGTTATGGAAGAAGATGTCACCATTGGGACAAATGCGCAGTGGGCACACAGGACTGTCTGCATTTTTTTCAATTATTTAAAAAATAAAGATTAAATCTACAGTTGTATTAGGTATTCCCTGTATTCAATTACCTTTCTGCCGCCTTTTTTCTTTTGCCTTCCCTACTTCTGCAAACATTTATTACTATATGAGACAAAGAAGTCAATAAAAGATTTCCATAAAACGTAAGTACACATTAACTATTTTACAAAATGGTTTTAAGACTTTGAATCTTATCCTACTTCTTTTAGGCAATTCAAATTTAAGCTATGTTAGCATTCTTCTGCAGCATTTATATCTATTTCTGGAAACTTCATTTATTGTATTTAAACATCATATAATTCTCTTGAAAGGTACAATAGTAGTTATACAGACAAGTAGCGGCAGTTCTTTCAAACCCCTTAGAAGTGTCTCCTCTGCCTTTGATGTATGCCATCAATCTCTGTCTCCCCCCAAGCCTTGAGGCACAAGGCCAATCTAGGCCCCGACTCATCGGTGGTTTAAACCCTGCTTCAACCTGCCCCTGATTTGCAATGGCCACCCAACCAGGAGTCACAAAACTCAAACAATGCTCCAGGGGCCAGGCAGGGAATGAGAGTGAGTGAAGTAGGCCAGGTGTAAGCAAAAATAACCAGCAAATGCCACGGTAAACGACGACGGTGGGGCTTCAAACAGAAACTCCCTTGGGAGTGGCGGCCTGGGGAATGAATGCCTGGCCATTTTAAGAAGGTTGCTCCAGCACCTAGATACTCTGGGGAATGTAAGCTCGGGACACATAGCTCCTCTGATTTATTCAAAAGAAATTGAGACAGAGAACGAGAAGAAAAAAAGAAGAGCTTTTGTAATCGGCTTTGGAGATTTGTCTTATTACAGGGCTAAATATATTTACAGGTCATTTTTGGTTCAAAAGACACAGAAATACGGATTGTCTTGAGGAATAAGGTTTGTCTGGGCTGTGCTGATATGATAGAGCAAGAAGCAATTTCTAAAGCTAAGTGTGAACACCACACTACGTGGGAGGGACAGCTGTGTCCCTGGGCAGCAGTTCTCACCCAGCACGCACAGGTATTTAACGGAAGTGGAAGAGTAATCACAGGCCCACTTGGCCAAGAAAGGCTGATGGTGGATGGGGGTCATTAGACCTTTGAAGAGAGACAAGCCAGGCTGCTTTTCTGTGGGTTGACCTCTATTAGAAGAGAAAGGGAGAAGGAAACCGAGGAAATAAAGGCCGCCTACTTGGTTCTGCCCAGCGAGCATTTGGAGGACAGTTGGAAATGTGTATTCCCTTCACCATGCCTAGAATACAGCAGCATGCGGGGGAGTGGATGACGAACGCGAATTATCAACTCAGCATCCTGTTCCACCCCTTCCTGGCCTAAACACAAAGCAGTCAAACACAAGACTTAGAAAGTTTATAGGTTGCTGGGAGTAGTGGCTCACGCCTTTAATACTAGCATTTGGGAGGCAGAGGTAGGCCGATATCTGTAAATTCGAGGCCAGTCAGGATTACATATGAGTGACATGTGACCACTTAGAGTACTTCACTCCTTTAACCAGATCAGTTGGCTCAACAGTGATCGTGACAAAGCAAAACTAATCAAAGCCTTCTCTGAAATTAGCTCACTGACAACCTGGTAGACAGAGCTGACTTCTGCTCTGCAATGACAAATTTAAAGATTTCATAAATATAACTGCGTGGCTATTTCCCTCAACCACAAAGAAAATACGAATAGGTTTTCTTTTCCCCCCCGAGAAGAGGATATGAACCTCCAACTGAATTCACTATAATACATTTTTATAAAGTTAGCAAAGCAACCAAAGGGCTGGGTAGGTGGCACGGAGGAAAAAAAAATAATAAAACACTGGCTACTCTTGCAAAGGACTTGGGTTCAATTCCCAGTACCCACAGGGCTATTCACAACTGTAACTCCAGTTCCAGGGCATCTGAAGCCCTCTTCTGGCCTCCAAAGGCACTGCATGCAGGCGGTGCACAAACATAGATCTAGGCAAAGCACTCAAATATTTTTTTTTTAAAAAAGCAACTAGAAATTTTAAAATAAACCCAGTGCATAACTTTAATCCCAGCACTCGGGAGGCAGAAGCAGGCGGATCTCTGTGTTTGAGGCCAGCCTGGTCTACAGAGTGAGTTCCAGGCAACTAGGGCTACATAGTGAGACTGCCTTTAAACAAAAGTAAAAAAAAAAAAAAAAAAAAAAAGTCAAAATAAGTAGGTAAGTGAGTCAATGTGGTGTAAGTGAGTCTAGAGGCTGGTGTTTGTAGCTCAGTTGATAGGAGTAACTTGCCTAGCGCCTCGTAAACCAGGCATGGTGGGGCACGCCTGTAATCCCAGAACTCAAGAGGTGGAGGCAGGAGGATCAGACGTTCAGCTTTAGTTTCTAGCATCCACTTGCTACCTCATGACAGTCCTTAATTCCAGTTTCAGGGGACCCAACACATCTTTTGACCTCCTCAGGCTCCTGCACATGTGTGGAACACATGTGCACACTCACACATACACATATTTTAAAAAAAAAGCAACGGAGGGTAATGAGTATTGTTTTTAATTTTTTGTGCAAAGAGAAAATAATTGAATGTGTATTTTAATGTGCATGAATATATATATATATATATATATATATATATCAAAATTGAAGTATGAGAAGTCTAGGAAAGAGGCAGAACATATTGAAACCTGTTCATTTACGGTGACAGAAATCCAATTTAGATTGCTTTTCCCCCAAAAGAGGGAGGGGGTTAATGATTGGTATAAAAGCCCAAGGTTCAGTAGGGCCGTGGTAGAACACCCATTTAATTCCAGCACTCGGGAGGAAGAGGCAGGTAGATCTCTGAGTTCAAGGCCAGCCTGGTCTACAAAGTGAGCTTCAGGACAGCCAGGGCAACACAAAGAAACCCTTTCTCAAGAAACAAAACAAACAAACAAACAAACAAACAAACAAACAACAACAACAACAAAAACCTGGCAGGGTTGAGGGTCTCAAAGGGTGCTATCAGGTACCACTTCTCTCAAGCTCGCGGTCCTTACCTCTGTGACGTCATTTTACTACAGGAGTCGCCTCTCTTTGGAGCAAGTCTCCCACGTTGCCCTGGGTGCCCAGGGAAAGAGCTACTTTCCTCTTGGGACCCGCCCAAGACATTGGTTGACTGTCATTGGGCAGACTTAATTGACGTCACCACGGCCGGCGGGAAGGTATCTGCTGATTGTCTAGATTGGATTTAACAGCCTTTTTCTGGTATTTAGGGGACTGACCAGGAGTGCAAGGGCTGATCCTGGCTGATTGCCCCTCCTTAGGAAACGTGGGACTGCGGTGCTAAGGCAACAACAGTTCCAGGAGTCGACTCCCCTAACGGTTCCTTGCTCCCCACCCCAGAGTGGGCAGGTGCCTGAGTTCCGGTTCTAGCCCCTTGAGCCGCTTCTGACCTGCTGTGTTTCCCCCTCCCAGGCCACTTTTCCTAAGGACAAGGACTGTGCCTTTTGCTTCCGTAGCTAATCCCTGGCAAACTGCCTCAGATACAGTTGGCACACAATAAATATTTGCTAAATGAATGACCGACTCGAGTGCATGACAAAATAAAAGTCTAACAGTCCAATTTTTCCTTGATTGGATCCCAGAACATCCTTCTGGTCTTTTTTGCCCCCCCCCCCCCCGCATCCCTCTCAAGCACACAGCAGCTCCCTCAATTGCAGCAGGCATTCTTCCCCATTTTCATTCTAAGATTTCCTCTGCAAGACGGTCCTCCGGGTGCCCCCAGAGACTCCCGATGGAAAGAAAGATCTGTAAAGGTTGGCGAACCAGTTTTGTGATCATAAGACCCTGCCGTTGAGATTCAACTCAAAACCTCTGACCAGTTTGCTCAGCGTCTTCGCTCTGCTTTCAACTTGTCCAGCCGCAACTGACGCTGTTTGCATGAAGTGACCTCGCCTCCCTGCCTTGCTATAGTTGGTTCCCCAACGGAGCGAATCGGAGCGAGCGGGAGATGCATGCAAATTTGTGTGGGGGCCAGGAAGGCTGAGGAGGCAGTTTCCTCCGTGTGAGATGATAACAGCTTGTGTTTATTGAGTATTTATTGTGTGCCAGGCACTAGGCCAAACGCTTGGCACAGGTTCCCTCCTTTGATCTCTACCCGAGGCATGTAGTATTCCCACTTTATAGTTAGAGAAGAAGGGGAAGTGGGCTCCACTGAAGTTACAGAGGGACATGGAGCTGAAGCCAAGACTGCACCCAGATCTGATGCTGGAACCCTTGCTCTTAACCCCCAAGTAGAAGGATGAATATAAAGAACGCTCAGTGAGAAGTGGTGTTGGGAGGCTATGGGGTCCCAGGAAAGCCAGGGAGGGCTGGAGAGAGGGCTCTTCCAGAGGACCTGAGTTCAGTTCCCCACGGCAGGCAGCTTACAACCACTTGCAATTCTAATTCCAGGGGATCTGACACCTCCTTCTGGCCTCCCTAGATACTGTACCCACAAGCTCATGTTACACGTGTAAAATTCAAAAGCAATAGAAAATGAATGCCTGAAAAAGACAGCTGTCGCCTTGCCTTCCAGAGCTTTGCTGACTCTGTCCGTTATTTGGGAGAGCCAGCGTCCTTCCCTGCTGGTATGTTCCTATACACCTTCTCTAACTAGTTCTCCCCCTTTTGCTAAGGGGAAAGTCACAGGTTCAAAGCGCCTCAGAGATCAAAGAAACCCCTGCTTTTTCCCTCCGTGACTGACAAGCTGTGTGAACAAGGCAAGTTGCTCGCCCTCTCTGATCTTGGATTTCTTTGCCGGGAAAATGCAGTTGATCCTTGCCTTACATCAGAGGGTCATCTTGAGGATTACGTGAGACGCTGGATGGGCTGCGACTTGCAGCTGGGAACTCCGATGAGAGCTCTGAGCACAGGGTAGATTCTAACCTGCTGTGCGCTCTGTTCCCACAGAACCTGGCACTGAGACGCCACTGTGGAAGGTGCTCGGCAGCCCCGTGCTCTGGCTCAGGGAAGGGTGAGTAGCTGTCACTACTGCTAAGCGTCCTTCCCCGTCTCATGGCCGCAAGCCCTCGGTGTGGGAGATGTGGTTTACACCCTGCTTGTTTCTTCCACGAGTTAATGATTCACTGCCAGTGTTTAATTCTGTTTAAACAGACACGACCCCGTTGGTACCCATGGCTCTTTCCCGGGCCAAAGTGGCTCAGAGATCAAAGACACCCAAAGACACGGGAGCCCTCCCACTGCCGTCTCCCGGAATTGTCCTTTAGCCCGCTGGCACCTACTCTTGCCCTGTTGCCCCTTGACCTTGCATGTAGCCATGCTCCGGTTAGCCCTTCTCTTGGAGACTAGTAGGCTTCCCTTGGGGCCACCAGGAAACCATGCACCCTCCAGCTCTTTGGTGCCTTTTTTTTTTTTTTTTTTTTTTTTTTTTTTTTTTTTTTTTT